TGGAATCGGAATCGTGAAAATCTTATCAATACCCATCCCTAATCACGGGGCTTTAGAAGACATTGATACTATGTTCCCCAGACCTGAATCCAAGTGAGAACCTCTATAGCATTATTAATCAGCCCAAAGTAGAGACTATACAGTAGCTCGCTGATGACCTGATCCAGATCTGGGAGAAGATCCCCCAGGATACCATCTGCCATCCTGTCAAGACCGTGCCCAGTTTTTGCGAGTCCATTCAGGCACTTAGAGGTCATACACTTTACTGATGATTTCAAATCATTCAAAAAGTTGATGATTTTGTTTTTTACTGACCATTGTTGCGTCATTATCTTCTCCACAAATCATACAGTCTATATCAATAAAGATATTCAGCTTGAATATTTTCTTCCGATTTGTGATTTAATGTGAAAGTGTATATTGCTATAAATATAAGTGTGCTTCAGTTTGTACTTGGAGGGTGTGCGTGCATGCATGCATGAGTGTGTCTGTGTGTCTCACTGGACGTCATCAATCACTCGCTCAGTATTGGCTGCATGACTGAGGGCAAACTGTCAGCTCTGTGCTGGAGGTTGCTGGCTGCAGTGAATAATGAAGGGAAGTGTCATTTAGATCTTTGAAGTTCTATATAATGCTGCTTTACAAGGAGGGTTTTCTTTCTACTGTGAGAAGCTACAGGCTTTGAAATATACTCAGCGACAGCTATTTCTAAGCTAATCCTTCTTATTCCATCTTTTTGTGCTGAATTGCAGAAGTGTTCAGGCAAAGAATCATTACCCTTTTTCTCCCATTACTGAAACTGCAAAAAACATTTCCAAATATCTAATATTGTTTTTGAGAGAAAAAAACACCAATAGTATTTGTGACAGTGCTTTTTGTTATATTCTTATTTGTTTTTTTAAATTCTTTTCTTCTTGAGTAACATGCATGAATCTTTGTTTGGGGTTCCCAGAGTTTTTTGCTATTAATATTCACAGTGCAGTTTGGCTCATGAAAGAGTTACCAAGGACAGGGGACTGACCTTGGGGTTGCAGGGGGAGCCATAGGGTGCATCTTAACAGCCTTTTCTTTCTTCTCCTCTTTTGCTTCCCTACTTCTGAGTTTTTATCAATTACATGCAGACACCAAGCACAGTCCGTAACCTGTTTGAGCCTTTGAGGTGTGAAAAATCTGGTTACAAGGTGCTGGGGGTTTATGGGTTGGCTCGGATTAAGCAGCTAATTCGGGCTGGATTTGAATTTTCTATCTTGCAATGTGCAGCTCCTTTCACATGCACACTGACATTGGGCTGTGACATAAGCGGAGATTATTGTACATTTTAGCATATGTAGATATATTCCCGAGAGTTGTGTCAGGGAAGTTCAATAGCCTTTCACAAAAATGGCAAATTAAAAACCCTGTCTCCTTATAGTTGAAGTGCAGGAAATAATCTTGAATTAGAAGCATGAATAAACCCTTGTTTGTCCCTGATGGTCTCTGGTGTTAAAATTATAGATGCAAACAACAACTTGCTAACAAAACAGCAGCAGACCTCACTATCCAGCTGGCATCGTGCCTGGTTCCTGCTATTCTGTTCTGGGATACAACAAGGTTGTCTCTGGGTCACTGCACAGTTATGACGTGCACACATTCACATCTAGGTCTGTCTACATGGCTAGCTTTGCAGCCACAGGCAGCCTTCTCATCAGCGACTTGCCCATTTTCTTTATTATAACTTTGAATCACTGAAATCCCCTCTAACTGGCCATGAATCGATCTCCCCACTTCCCCTATCCTTCATTCTCGCACACCCCTCCTCGGCTTCATTTAGAATCCACCTCTCCTTGTCTCATTTCATTTACCACACACAGAAATCCAATCACTATCCAATTGTCCGTATCTGTGAAATATTTTGTTGGTGTTAGATGACAGAAAAAGCAGGCCTTGCGGTTATTGCCGGGCTCCCCCAGTTTATTGGCAGCATGCAGGTTTCAAATGAAGCTTAACGGGGGGAACATCCAACTCCTCATGACCTCATCTCACCTCTTTTCCAAGGTGTTTTGGTGCCCTTCAGGTGTACTTCACAATGAAATTATAAATGCCAACAGATAAAACAGCCATGAAGGCATCTGCAAGGTAATGAATAGCCAGAGCGCCACATATGAGGATGTTTTCACGCACCTGCTGCTCCCAAGTTTGACCAAATGAGCAAAGGTAAAAGAAGCAGTGATAAGGTCTCTTTCTGTTGTTGGAGATGTATTAAAAAAATAACAAGTGGCAATAAGAGTAGAGGAACAAAATAAAGACATGCCCAGACAAGCTGCCTCAATATACCAGGGCCAAAGACATGTTTATTTTTCCAGTGCTTATTAAGGTAGCAACTGTCACCCCATGTGTCTTTTGGTCTGTAAACACACAAGAACACGAAATTGACATGTCTTATAAAACCACAGCGAGGAGCTCAATAAGAGATAAGATACTCCAGTTTTTTCACTTTGTTTTTTTTTTTTCTCCACAACTTTGCACAAAACTGTGTCAATGTGATTAGAAGTGATCACAAAGTTTATATAGAAGTTATTAAATCTGCAGGCAGAGGTGGGGTTGGCTCCATTCCTATTCAAATTTGAGCTGGAGATGATAAAAACTTTCACTTCAGTGCGCCAGTCAGCCAGCAGTTCTAGCTGAAAAATAGATTGAACGCCTTAATGGGAAACAAAACTAATAATTCAGTCCTTTTTTGTACTAAAAATACTTTATTTTGATTAGAAAAACGCCTTAATAATTCCATAATAAGACAGTAACACTTTCTTAAATTCGCTTTCTGACGTGAAGGGCTGAACAAAATCACTAACTTTTAAGAGCAGTCCAACAAGAATAAATTATAGCAAAGACTTTACTTAACTCAAAATTAATGTGGAACCAAATCATCTCTTACAGAAGCAAGCTGTCATCAGCAGCACTCCTCTACATAACCGTCACATTACACTACATATGAGAGGTGCAGAGGTACATGCCCTAACAATTTGCTTGCAGACACAATGTGCACACTGCGTGGGATAAATGCACACATAATGTGTATATTCAGTTGCAGACAGAACACTTAAGACAGCCCAAATGAAGCTGAAGTCATGCAAACAACCTTTCAGTGACACTTTTCTAATTGACATGTCAAAGGATTTCCCCTGAGAGCAGGCTGGATGAACAAACATAATAGTGTATGGGATCTGTAGCACCTAGGTCACTACAGTTAACAGCGCTCTTTTGTGCAAGTGGCAGAAACATCTAAATCGCCTCAAACGCAGAGTAGGTGACACAGGATGACGCTGCAACTGTTCATGCATGGAGCCAATTAATGCACGCATGGTTAGAAGGATACAGATCATCATTGATGCAACCCCTGATATAATGTAGAAAACTGTGGCATCAAAGACAGATTGCTTGACAGATTGTGACCAAATGTCATACTGTGGTAAGTGAGCAGGAGTGAGGCAAATGAGGCAAAGACACTGAAAAGGAGAGAAGTGAGGAAGAAAAAGCATAGACACAAAACTTCCCAGTGCCAGTGAGTATTTATAGATCAGATATAGTCAGAACCTCTGCCTGGCAGCAGCACTGAACTCCTTGTTGCTCCTGCTTATGTCTCTGTACACATCCGAGCTGGCTCTGGCTCTGGAGAACATTTGAAGAGGATGTGATGGTGATATTAATGGTAAAGACTCAGGCAGAGGACCAACTCACTGACATGCTGCATGAATGAAGCCAAAAAGGCTCTAATGCTGGGAGAAGTGGGAAACTGGATTTACCGTATTTTCATATTAACACTTTATTCACCTTTTACATGTTTTAAGACCTCCAGTCAAATCGTATCTTTCTGAATTTTCTTTTCTCTTTCTGTTTGCGTGTGCGCATGTTCACAGTCAAGTGTGTGCGCGCGCGTGCCAGCCCAAGCGAAAGTAGCGACCAGGAGCGCTCTTGGTTCACTCAGCTTCTGGATGCCGAGAGCGCACACAGAAACAGACACGCGAAATAACGGCACACGCGTGGCTCTCCCTTTTCCTTCATGACGAAGCAAATATGACTTGTTAATGTCATTATACTTGTAGCCATCCTCAGTGAAGGCGAAAAACAAACCACAATTATTTTCGCAAGAATCGCCAACATATTATCAGCTGTTTCCCACAGTTCCACATTCCGGCGCACACAGGGAATATGAAGGCGAAAAACCGTGACCAAAGCTTGTCGGACTCCAGAGAACTGGACGGATCCTATGACCAGCTAACGGGTGAGTGAGCTTCTGTAACACCGGTGGTTGCTGAATGATTTGCTTCAGGTCAATATTTTGTGGAAAAAACACGAACTTCAGGTGCTTTTGAAATGTTACAACCTGTCCGCCGTTCACCCGACTGTTCAAAAAAAAAAAAAAGCTTCAAAAAATTAATTTTTGTCTTTTGCCTTTTGGGGGAAAAAAATGAAACGTTTTATTGGAGGGCATCCCTGTGTATAAATCACATTTTTCATACTTTGACAACGAGCTTCACTGTTTTTATCAGTACTTTAAAATAGTTTTATTGTTTTTTGCTTTTCAGCTAAAAGAGTGAGAGGATGGACAAGTTGAAACAGTGCATTGAAAAGACAAAAAAGCATTAAATGTATCAATGTTGCATGTTGCTGTAGTTGCGTAATGTGGTGCGTATTGTAGGCGAATGATGGGCTGTTTCTGCAAGAATGTTAAGTGTGATCAACTGTGTGATTTTGCTGGCTTGGCTCAGCGATGGGGGGACCACCTTACTCTAACTGTGTCCACTGGTGCTAAAAGCGCTGCGGGTATATAACCCTTGGCTGACCGGAGCCAGTTGCCAGATTATGAAGTTCCAACACATTTCTCTCTTTTTGACGTTTTATCACTTTAGATGGGAACCTGTCATGTCTCGGGGCTCTTATTGTGTTCAAGTTTGGACCTGTTGAAAAAATTAAATAAAATAGGAGAGTGATATTTTATCAAGTGCGGCTAATATCAATATCAACTTGGTCCAATAGTGCCAGCTACATGGAAACGAAACTGTTGTGTGTGCATGTATGCGTGTGAGCTACAGACAGCACCTTTAGTAGCACTTTGTCAGCACAGATGAGACTCGGCACACATTAGTGTTACAGCGATATAATGAACCAATTTATCGAGTGTCAAGCGAGCATCCCTGCTCATACCTATGCTTTGTGTGTGTGTGCCCATTGAGAGCTAAACACTCCCTCGAGATGTTCTGTTGCCGTCAGTTGTCACATTATAGTCAGCGTGTTCACAGCATTCCCCTGCTTATGTGTGCACCGTTTTGCTTATTAAGTGCCAGCTGCCTAAATAAATTGCTCGCATTCATGCCTGAACACATCTCAGGCCTGCGAAGGGAAGTTGTCCCTGTCCAGACAGCTGTATGCTTCAGGCTCGAAGGCGACACTTTAATCTCGTTTGCACTCTTCCACGCATTAG